ACATCCTGCTCTGCAAGGGTTTTTTTTTTTTTGCTTAATAATGTAAATATATTTTATAGCTAAACAGTATGTTTCTTCATATGGATTTATCATATACTATTAAATGAATGCTGTACTGTTAGATATTTACTTTTCTATCCTCAAGTTTCCCTAAGAAAAAGTTTCCATAGACCCTTCTGAAACCTATTTTTTCCAAAGAAAGATTTTTTTAGGAAGTGCTTATTTGGGACAAGAGTATATAATAAACATAATCTGTATTGCTAAGACTTTTGGTACACATCACCGATTTCTTTTGCAAATTCACATTCTATTCAATGGCCATTGCCTCATATATGTCAAAATGTCAACAGTTGCAATAATTGTTTTGAATCTGATGAAAAACACATACTTTAATTTGTATTTATTCAATTTTTAAATAAACTTCTTACTGAGTTGCTGATAATTATATATATATTATACATAGTTATTATTATATTATATATTATATATTATATTATATTATATTTAAGATATATAATATATAGTCTAATGTGATATATTCTAATATATAATTATATGTTATTATAAATTGTATAATTATGTTTATTATATATGTTATGTAACTATATAACTATGTTATATAACTATGTAATATATATAATATAATAATATATACATATATGTGTGTATATATATATACACACACACATAGATTTATTTATTTTTTTGATAGGCAGAGTTAGACAGTGAGAGGGAGAGACAGAGAGAAAGGTCTTTCTTCCATTGGTTCAACCCCCAAATGGCCCCCATGGCCGGCAAGCTGAGCCAATTTGAAGTCAGGAGCCTGGTGCTTCCTCCTGGTCTCCCGTGCAGGTGCAGGGCCCAAGCACTTGGGCCGCCCTCCATTGCCTTCCTGGGCCACAGCAGAGAGCTGGACTGGAAGAGGAGCAACCGGGACAGATTCTTCATTCATTTCTGGAAATATTTTTTAAGATTTATTTATATATTTGAAAGGCAGAGTTACAGAGAGGCAGAGAGAGAAAAAGGTCTTCCATCTACCGGTTCACTCTCCAGATGGCTGCAACAGCAAGAGCTGCCCTTATCTGAATTCAAGAGCTTCTTCTAGGTCTCTCACATGGGTGCAGGGGCCCAAGGACTTGGGCCATCTTCTACTGCTTTCCCAGGCCATAGCAAAGAGCTAGATATGAAGGGGAGCACCTGGGATTGAACTGGGACCCATATGGGATGCCAGCACTGCAGGTGGTGGCTTTACCCACTATGCCATAGCATCAGCCCAGGATATACTTTTTAATTTTAACAAAGTTAATAAACTATGAGTAAAAGTAATTGAGGAAACACAGTGAAAAGTAACACTAGTGTCCATTTTCATGTATTGAAACAATTGTTTACAGAGAAAAGAACTTTGTCAAGATTAGAAAAAAATATTGCAAAACTCTTAGGGGTAAGGCCGGTGCCGCAGCCCACTAGGATAATCCTCCGCCTGCAGCACCAGTACCCAGAGTTCTAGCCCCGGTTGGGGCACCAGATTCTGTCCTGGTTGCTCCTCTTCCAGTCCAGCTTTCTGCTGTAGCCCAGGAAGGCAGGGGAGGATGGCCCAAGTCCTTGGGTCCTGCACCCATATGGGAGACCAAGAGGAAGCACCTGGCTCCTGGCTTTGGAATGGTGTATCTCTGGCCATAGCGGCCATTTGGGGGGTCAACCAATGGAAGGAAGACCTTTCTCTCTGTCTCTCTTACCATCTAACTCTGCATGTCAAAACAAAACAAAACAAAACAAACAAACAAAAAAACCTCTTGGGGTAAAAACTTGACTAGAGATAAAAACCCACTATACTTTGAAAATCAAATTCCCAAACACAAATATAAATTCCTAAAATCCAATATAAGAAATATAAAATAGGAAAACTCCAAATTAAAACAAGCAAGTTGAATCCCAGTTTGAAGGCCACCAGCCAATAAAACAGTTAGAGAAACAAAACTTCAGTTATAGAAACACAAAATATTTCAAACATTTAAGAAATAAAAAACACCTATATTTCTCAGATGTATCAAAGTATAAATAAGCAAAGCATATTTTCAGATTTCTTTTAGAAAGCCAGCATTACATTGATAATGATGCAAGGTTGACTAGAACTTTCAATATAAATTAAGTATAAACTCTCTTTCATATACAGATGCATAAATCCTTAGTATTTTTATAATAAATGAAATCGCATATGAAAATATAATGAATAACAAGTCACATATAATAAAAAATACAAGAGGTGGTTAACATTTCTTAACAAGTCATGTAAATTTTCCAGGTAGGTGACAAATTCAAGGAGAAAATCACATGACAATTTAATGTTCAAAAACATTTAAAAATCAGCATGCAATTTTTAAAAACTGCTTGCAGTATAGTAAAAAAGAGCAATGGCTTTCTTATTCAGATCAAAATTTTTAAAAGGATCCTACAACGAAAACCATAATTAATACAGAATCAATGAGAGCTTTTACCCTGGAAGCAAACCTAGACCAGGAAGTCTCCACTAGTGCCAACTTCTTATTGGAGAAGTAGTTGGGGACGAGGGGGAGAGCAAAAAGAAATAAAATAAGATGTAAAGATCAATTTCTTAACAATAAATTGCCAATATATTGGAGATATTTATTTAGGGAGAATCCATAAAATCTAAAAACAAATAAACCGATAAATGAATTTAATGTTGTGGGAAAGATCGATGTTTTAAAAATCCATTAGATTACCAAGTGCCAGCAAGAAATAACTAGAAAATATAAAAGATCAATAGGCAGAGTAGAAAACAGAAGAAAAGAATAAAAAGAGTAAATTATGTTACATCTAAGTGTTATTCAAATCAATAAGTAATACAAACGACCCAACAGAATGAGCAGAAATACAAGGAAAAAGAAAGTGCCGGAAGTGGATAAACAGAACTGTAACTCACTGCAACAGGTTACCGCCAGCTCCAGGCAGCATCCGCAGGGAGAAGGACGGGACCCAGGGCGAGGCCAGTGGGTAGCAGGAGCTCGGAGGTGAGAGCCCTCCAGCCGCGGGGAGGCAGAGCCCAGGGGCGGCCATTTCAGACCTGAACCCAGGTCTGTCTCTTGCTGTTCCCATCCAGGATAACTTGAAGTTAGGGGTCCTTGCTATGGGGGACGCTGATTGGCTCCGTGCTTTGTGACGTTCCGTGCACTCAAGGCTGGCAAACTGTCCAATCAGGCAAGGTGACATCCACAGTGCATCAGCACGCGGGGCCTGGACGTCACAATCTTCTTAGAGTTTTGCCTGCAGAGTGAACTCCTGGGAGACAGCTCCACCGCCAGGAGGCTCCCAAGCGAGGTCGACCTCTGCAGCTCTCCAGCTTCACTCACCGGGGACGCTGGGCACCTAGGAAGCTGACAACCGCGACATGGTGAGTGTGTGGACCTGGTTGTACCGAGAGGGGAAAACGGAGCCGAAGGCCAGGAGGACACAGGCCTCCGGCATCTGTGGGCTCCATATTAGTGCTGGCACAGGGCTTCCCCTCGGTCCCCTCAGACCCGTGGGTTGGGGGTTTTACCGGCACCTAGCACCCCCGAGGTCCTGCCCCTTCCCTGCTTGGGTGAGACTTCTCAGCCCGGAGCCATAGCAGGCCAGCTGTGTGGCAGTAGCTCCACGTCTCCCCCAATTGTGCATTGGGGACTGGGTGGTCTCTAGGGAGAATGTGGGCTCTGTGTATGTGGTTCATGTGGGACAGGCGCTGTAGATTCCTCCTTCCCTCCCCACAGGGACCTCATTCCCCCGAGTTTTGTCAATATGTGGCCTGCAGGGTACTTTCCAGGGCATTGACCTCTTTACACAGCTGTTTCTAGGATGTCTCACTCCTTCATATGTTTCCAATATCACAGTAACATAGACTGAGTAAGGTAGAAACAGAAGTTTTATTTGGCTTGGGGTTTTCACCCAGGTTTTAGAGAAGCAGAAAGACCCTGTAATTTGGTTCTTGGGCATCGTCTTAGCACTTACACTTTCTCTGTACAGGGTGCCATTTCTATGTGCACTTTCAAAATAGAAATTTTGACCACTCAAATTTATGTGTGTTTTTAAAATGATTTTTCTTGCATGAAAGTCTTCCAAATCCTGTGGTTATGTCTAGTTTACTAAGTTATTTTGGATTTATATTTTAATATAGGAGCCTGTTTAGTTTTGCTTGTTTTAATTTTTTTTCAAGATTGTCAGAGTATGACTGACACAATTTGTGTATCATCAAGGTATGAAAACTGATGTTTTGCTATGTGAGGGACGTTAAAAAGTTATGGACAATTCTGTGGGGAGCAACTCGGACTAGACTAAGTTACTGGAATTAAGACTTATTCTATGCATCTGCTCTCCCACAATATGGCACTGGGAGAGGAGTAAACAGCTTCTACACAGCTGCCTCCAGTTCAACCAATAAGCAGCAGGACCTGCTCCTGATTGGAGGAGAGCAGCGTACTCGGTGTGTGGGTAGCAGAGTTGGGATTGGTGGAAGAGGACTATAAGGGAGGAGAGAGACAACATGCACCAGGAACATCTAAGGGGAACACCTGAGGAACACCTGAGCAGCCCCCGAGAGAGCCGGCCAGCGGTGTGCCGCTCCCCCATGGAAGTGGGGAAAGTGGCAGGGGGAACCGCCCTTCCACGGAGGTGGAAGGGACGGTAGCCAACCCGGGAAGAACCAGCAGCAAACCTGGGGAGGGCCGAGCAGACAAAAGAACAGCGCAGGGTCCTGTGTCATTCCTCCACGAAGACGGGGAGTGACATAATGGTGCCGTGACTCGGATAGGAAACCTAGGCAGGGTTTAGTGTCATTCCTCCATGAAGAGGGGGAGCGACAAATTCACGTTTTTGTGTGTGTGTGTGTGTGTGTGTGTGCAAAAGTAATATATTAAACTTAATAAAGAAGAGTAGTAGTTTCAAAATGCTTAAGGAAAAGAATGCCACAAGAGACTAAGTTTTCAAAGTCAGAAATAAAATGCAGAAGAGGATATTTTTGTCCTTTAATATCCAGGATTTTTACAAAGCAACTTTAGTCCCAAAGAAAAGACTGTTGTTCCTTTAAGAAATGGGTCTTCTTGAATTATAAACTTTGACACCATTCTGCATTGAAGAACGAGAATATTTAGTGAGTAATGCACCTATGGTTTGCTTTTCTCTGCATAAATCTTGAATATATGGAGCAATATCTTCTTCTGTCCACTTCTCTCTTATAGAGAACAGAGTATTAAAACGTTCCTGATCACCTTCAGGTAAGTCATCAACTTTCAGCAAAAATATGATTTCTGGCCTTGAATTTCTATCAACCAATGCTAAACCCTTAAGCTGATCAAGCCTAGTTATCATTCCTTCAGGGACACTCTGTTGCCACACTTATTGAAACTCAGCAAGATTGAATTTCACTGCATTCTGAAGAAGCATCTGTGCTGTTGCTCTGCATATTTTATCAGCACTCAGTTCAAAATAAACTTCACCTTCGTCTATGTATTTCTTTCCATAACATTTAAGACAGTGTTCTATCATTTCCTCTGGCTCCAATGGTCCAAGTTCCTGAAGACATGTACTCAAAGGAACTTTATTAAACGACCAAGATTCAAAATCCACAAGCTGAGTTACATGATTCAGAAGTTTCATCTCATAGTCAAATTCAAGAATTCTCCAATAACCTCCAATCTCACAGGCATTTAGAACTTGCAACTGGGTCATTATTTCATCCTCACTTGCCTGAATTTGATCAAGCAAATCATCAGTCGTATATTTTGAATGATTTGAATCCTTTTCTTTTTGACTGTCAGGTCCTTCATAGGTATTTTCCATCAAAAGTTTCTTTAGCTTCTTTAATTTAGGTCTACATCTTCTTAACTCCCAATAATTATTAGAAAAACCAAAGATCTCAGTGTGAATAATGTTACAGTGTGTTTCTTCCTTCTTCAGCTGATCAGGAGTTTTACAACCGGGAATGAAAAGCAACATATTTGAAGTATCTGCTATTTTCAAGTCATATGTTTTGTCTTTACTGCACAGCACTGCTTGTTCATCTTTATCACCACGAATCACAAAACTGTGCCTGGCCTCCAGCTGCTGGCAGAGCGCGGGCTCCAGCTCCAGCAGGCAGAAGTCGCCGCCGCCGGCCCCGGGGCCGAAGCTTAAGCAGTGCACGGCAGGCAGCAGCTCGGCCGCGTTCACCTTGGCGATCTGCAGCGTGGCGTCCACCTCATCACGGGTCCTCTTCATGGCAGCGTCCACTCAGGGAGTCCTGTAACAACCAGAGGACAGAAAGGACCCGCGAGACGCCTCATGTTATCTTTTGATTACATTTTTCCATAAACTTTCTGGAATCCTCTTGTACATATACATTATGAAATGATTAAGACAATCTAACATATCAATCACATTACATCCCTATGTTATTAAAGAATATGGAAGATATTAGCAAGTTGTGAGTATGTGATATCATAATCAACTATTTACTGTGTTGAATATTAAGGTCTTGAGGTGTTAATTTTGTTAATTTATCTCATAGCTGCAAATGTGTGTTCAGCTAACATTTTCCCATGTCCTTCACTCTCAGCCCATGACAACCACCATTCTATTCTGTGATTAAGTGCGACTTTCTTAGATTACACATATGAGTGATATTGTGTGGCATTTATCTTTCTGTGCCTTATTTCAAATAGCCTAATGTCCACATTCATATTTTTGGATCCACATCCTGACAAAATGGAAGAATTTCCTTATTAAGGTTGTCTGTGATTCCTGTGTATGTGTGTTTATCACATTTTCTTTATTCATATGTTGACAATGGGGTTGTCTCCATATCTTGTTCTTGTAGATAATGCTGCCAGTAATGTGGAGATAAAGGTATCTATTTGAGATACTGATTTGGTTTCCTTTGGATATACACACAGTTGTGAGATTGCTTTGTCATATGTTCTATGATTAATTTTGATTGAAGACCTACATAATGTTTTCTATATTGTATGTACCAATTTACTTTCTCAGCAACAATTTTTATATTCCTTTGTTCCACCCTGGGCCAATGTTATCTTTTTACTTTTGGATAATTGTTTTAACATATATGAGATGATAATCACTGTGGTCTTAATTAGCATTGTAGTCTTCATTAGCTGTTTCTGAACCCCTTTTAAGTTACCTGTTGGCTACTTGTATATATTCAATGGAAAACTGATCAATCCTTTGTGCAATTTTTATTACAATATTTGTTTTTGAGTTGTTTGTGTTCAAACTCAGGTTGTCCAATGTTTTCTTCATTTCTTGCTTTATCTGTTCTGTTTTTCCTATCACATGCAGAATACTTCTTAGATTTTTTTCAGTCTTTGCTTTTGTCACCTATGCGTTTAGTGTCATATCTAAACAATCATTGTTGAGACTAATATCAATAAATTTGCTTCCATTTGTAAGGGGTTTTATATTCTCAGACCTTTTATGTAAGCCTTCAATTCATTTTGATTTGACTTTCATGCCTGGGTAATATAAAGATATTATATTTCAGTTTTTGGCATGTAGATGAACAATTTTCCTCTGCTTCAGATGTGGTCACTAAACACTAAGTGGCAGGATCCAGGCAGAAACTGTCACAGTCCAGTTTTTCCCTAATCTGCCTTGTCTCCCAGACCCACTCTTCTGTGCTCTGCTGCTCTTCCCTGTCTGCATGAAGAGACCTCAGAAGTGAGCATGCACAGAGAGAGACACATGAAGCAGTGTGCAATGTTGGGGAGAAGCAGAAACTATGTAGTAAAGGGGCAGGGCCTTTGTCTCCTTTCTCTGAAAGCCTTGGATATACAGAGGCACTTCAAAAATTCCCTGAAGGATTGACATTTGGCATGTGCTACAACCCTGCTTAGTATGTCCACATCCTATATTGGCATGCCTAGGTTACAGTCACAACTCTCAATTCCAGCTTTATGCTAATATGCACTTTTGGAGGGAGTGATGGCTGAAGTATGTGGGTCCCTGTAACCCACATGAGAGACTCGTATCATCTGGGAAGCAGAGCTGATGGGGTCCTCCATGCAGAGTGGATGAACATAAGGTGTTCCTTTGCTGCAATGTGTGTTGGTGATCTGGAAAATAACACTCCATCATGAACTTTGTATGTCAAACAATGATGCACAACCGAGAAAAGGAGGCCACTGAGGTATTCAGGCATTTTTTCAATTAGTCTATGCTGCTGCCATCCCCACAGGGAAGGGGCCCAACTGGAATAGTCCCAGTCTGACCACATGGATGCAGGTGGTTTATTTAAATTTTTAAAATTAATTTTATTCACATTAAAGGCACAGTAATCTCTCATCCACTGTTCTCTCCAGATATTCACAATAGCTGGAATTCAGCTAGGTTGTGATGTGAAAACATCAGGTTTTATGAAGTGAAAATCCCAGAACTCAGTGTGGATGGCCCAGACTCAAGTATCTGAGCTATTATATGCTGCCTCCTAGGATGCACTTTAGTAGGAAGCTGGATTGGATATGGAGTGGGACTGAAACCCACACACTCTAATATAGGATGTGGGTCTCGAAAGAGCCATCTTACATGCTGTTCCCCAATGCTCACCCCTCTGTTATTTTGAGGACTCCTACAACAGTCCAAACCAACTCTCCTGGCCCTGATGGTCATAGCACCTGAAGTTAAGCTGTGCAGACCCTCAACACTCTAGAAAATACCCAAGTACATCCACGCAATGGAGTGTTCACAGCAGCAGCTTCCTGCTGTGCTTGTCACTCATAACTATGAAGCTAAAGGTGTGCCATCAGGTGCTGTTCTGCCTGACACCTCTTCATCCACTTTCCACAAGCTGATACCACATCTGGCCATCCACATCAAAGTGGTCACTATTAGATGCTGTGTTGAAGGGGGATCCCAAGTTGTCTCATTTCAGATAAACTTCATGTGTTGCTTCAGACACTCCTTGGCACTGATGTGGCTCATCCCCCCAGATAGTCTCCTTAGCAGGTCCCTTGGCACAGTAGTTCATGCACCCCACAGGCACCTCTGTGGGTGACACTCATCTGTTTACTGGGCTCATAGCCTAGATAATTGTGACCTGTGGGCACTGAATCAGGTATTACTTCATCAGTGTGGTGAACCAGCCTGCTGGGTCATTGGCGAAAAGGAGGACAAGTCCTTAGTATACCTGCATGGTCAACATATTAAGGCAGGACTCTTCTTTTTACCATGAACCCTGGTATTGTTTCTCCCCACTTATTTACTGTTTCTCATCCTTGGTTGGCATGGACAGTCTGGAATATCTCTTCTCCACCAAGCCTAATGCTTTGTACAGGTGGGGCATGCTGACGAAGAGCCTGTACATTTCCCCAAGCCCCTCTGCACCATCAACATTCAAGCAAGGCTGTAGTAGAATTTGCCTCAGTTAATCACCACATAATGGAAGCATGTGGTTTGAAATTTGTATTTGTAACTTATTGCAGGTGGAAGCTTAACATCCTGCCTCACAACCATAATTCCAACCAGCCTATTTTTACAGGTTAAACAAAGAAATCATTTTCAGACTGCATTGATTTGCAAGAACGTGATAAAATAATTCTAGTGATATTAGGGTTAGATGTTTAATATGTTGGTAAATTTGCCTAGAGAGAGTGCCTGCCTTCTAATTTTGTATTAGAAAGGAAGGCAAATTAGGGGTGACAACCATAGCATTATGTAGTGAGTAGTAGACAACTTTCCTGTTTGGTTTAACCCTTTGAACAGCCTGACATGGAATAGAAACTGCTCAAATGTTTGTTGAATGGGTAGAAATATCCAAGGAACCTGGAAGATATGAGAAAAACCCCAAAACCTATATTTTTTCAGTGATTTACTGTATACCCAGCTTTGGCTTCATGCTGTGGGAGCCAGTGCTGTGTCTAGGAATACTGATAGCAGCAGCAATTTATTGTGCTTCTTGTGAGCCAAGCATTCTGCACACATTTGTTTTTCATTCTCTCTGCTACTCTGTGAGTTGGACATTGTGGGTTTTTTATCCATAAGGAAAGTGAGACCAAAAGAGGCCAAGCAGCTGGACAATAAACAGGAAGGTGTGCCCTTAACTCCTGTATTCTAAGGCCTGCTTGGCTCATAAAACATGCTTTCTTGTGGGAAGTAAACATAATTAGGACAATTAAAAATTAGCATGCTAGGGAATAATTGTATAGTATGCCTCTCTTTCTACATATTTGTGTGCTACCAGCATTTCATAAAGTGTGGGGTTTTGTCATGATTAAGTCTGTATGCTCTGAGTACTCATTATAGCATTAAATCTCAATGTACAGCACATCAAGGACAGAGATCCTACATGAGGAGTAAGTGCACAGTGACTCCTGTTGTTGACTTTACAAATTGACACTCCTGTTTATGGCATCAGTAATCTCCCTATGCTCCAGTCATGAGTTTCCAAGGCTATGGAAGCCTTTTGAGTTCTCCAACTCTTATCTTGTTTAGACAAGGTCATAGTCAAAGTGGAGGTTCTCTCCTCACTTCAGAGAAAGGTACTCAAACAGTATATTTCACTTTGTGTTTCTATGGGGGTGCAAACTGTTGAAATCTTTACTTAATGTATACTAAACTGATCTTCTGTAAAAAAAAAAGAAATTATCAATTCCCAACTTGACTCTCACTGGGATTAAACATGACAATAGGTCTGATCTGATTTCATCATCATTTAAAAAATCATCTATTATTTTTCACTTTATGCTTCTGTGTGGGAGCAAACTGTTGAAATCTTTACTTAATGTATGCTAAACTGATCTGTATATAAAGAGAATCAAAAATGAATCTTGATGTGAATGGAAGGGGAGAGGGAGTGGGAAAGGGGAGGGTTGTGGGTGGGAGGGACGTTATGGGGGGGAAGCCATTGTAATCCATAAGCCGTACTTTGGAAATTTATATTCATTAAATAAAAGTTAAAAAGAAAGAATTAAACAAAAAAAAGTCCGTATGCTCTGGAGTTAGATGCATGGATTGGAATCATTCCTGTGTGTGTAAAACTGGACATGTAGCCATGCATTTAAACATTTATTACAACTTCTTATAAAGTGTGGATGATAAAGGCACCTGTCCCCTTGTTATGAGGGATGTGTAACTTGTGTAAAATAATTCAGTGTGTGGTAGGCATTGCATCTCAGCAGGTTAAGCTACAGCTTGGAATGCTCACATCTCATATTGGAGTGCTGCTTTGAATGCTAGTAACCACCATTCAGCTAGCTATTGATATACTTGGGAAAGCAGTACAGGATGGTGCAAGGG